GATTTTTGGATTTCCGCTAGTATTTTCTTTTAATATTGATAATATTCAATAATTAACTGAATGTAATCGATGTACAGACTATTTTTTTAGGACAAAAAGCCATTACATATTAAATCATATTAAAAACCATTCATAACAATTATCCCTTGTTTAAGCATCACTAAGTCCTGCTTTAATATGTGCTGGCTTCTTCGAGCTCTCTTAAATATTTCTGCAAAATAATTTATAATTTCTACTGCTTCCTCCTTGTTAACCCCATTCAAATGCTTTCGACTTATTTTTTAGCTAAAATTAATTATTTGCGCACGCTTCAAAATATAAGAAAAAAGGAGAAATCCCTGTCACATCATACAATTTATAAGGGATCCACCCTCAACTACACCTACACAGAAAAAGAGGAATACGGAATAATAATTTAGATAAAAGTGTGCATAATTTTGATAAGGATACTTCTCTGACCAGGCGAGCGAGCCAGAGGAAATTTATATGCTCGCACCTAACTGCAAATTGTGTGTAATGAGCTGAGCGGCGTTTACCTTTGCCTTCACCTTTGCCTTTACCTTTACCTTTGCCTTTGCCTCTATCATGTTTACTTTTTTTTCTTGCCGCTCAGCTAATTTAGTGGCACCTTTTGCGTTGTCTAAGCCTGAAGAAGACATAAATTTGTTAGCGCCTGGGCTGGGTTTAGCTACCAATTTCCATGTTTCTCTTCTTTTTTTTTTTTTGAGGGTGTTTTGTTGTTATTTTTTGTGCGTCCTACTGCTGGCCCCGTGTCCAGGCTTAGGCTTAAGGCATACAACACAAAAATTAGTCAGCAACAACAACATTAGAAAAGGTTGCCGACGGCCCGGAGTTACGCTGGGGTAGAACATAGATCGGTCGCTTCAGATAAGTTCCACTTCATATTTATGTTGGAAATTAGGCAAATTTTTAGTGGCGAGATAATTTGTGTACGACTTTGTCGCAGTGAGTGAGAAAATTGCAGGTAATCTACAGTTATCTCTAATTGCAGGTGTGGGTGTGGCCGAGGACAACGTGAACTCCCCAAATCTGAGCGAATCTTGCTACAAAATGAATTTTATTTTTCTGTTACAAATATGTTTGAATAGGCCTGAACAAGCTTTAATACTAGCTGCAAATTGTAGACATAGCTTTAACTTATTTAATATAAGTTGTCTTTTATGAATGAAAAAAGACTGTAAAGTTCAGTCGCTACATAACAACAACAAACTAGAAAAGCATTGCCAAATGAGTATTATAAAGTTTAATTTGATAGAACATAAGTCTTATATTTATGAGATCTGTTCAAAAAGTATTGCAACAAAGTTTTTTTTTTTTAAATTTATGGAGAATATATATTTCTCCTTCAAAGTATCAACTATCAATTCACCTATGCCCATGTTCTCAAATCACTCCCCATTTTGCAGAACTCTAATAACATAATTAGGTTCTACTAACATTTTAGTCAATAGCAATTGATTGGCCTAACGAGCACAGCAATCAGAACGTCTGGCAATTAAAATGTCTTAAACTAATAATTAGTTAAATGTTAAGAGTCCAATTTACACACTGCCCATGAATAGTTAATAGAAATGTGACACTTTCTCACAGTTTGATTCTGCTGGCTCTTGCGAGGGCTAATTAAGATATTTGGAAAGTCAAGTCACAAGACTTCAGCTTGTTTGTTGGTTAAAAATGATTTTATAATTGCGCCTTTCGAGTGTGTAATTATTAGTTAGCTATCGGTTAGGTCAGCCTAAACTGAGGGCAAACTAAATACACTCGCTATTATATAAGCCACATTTAAATGTTCCCTCGGTTACTCAGTTTTTTCTCTCTGTTTTCCTGCTTCGTGGCCTATGGGCATAAAAATTAAGTTATTAAAATTCATATGCCATATGCTAGGGCCGTCTACGACCGTTTATGCTTGTCTTGTAATTATAAATGATTGACAGCACGCGTTTCAAATATGCCCAGCAATTGGCCCAGTCACAATTTGTAATTGTTTAATTGTTTAACAAATTGAAGCAATTGCAAAATTATGAACTTCCAAAAGGCAACAACAGAAATTATGCCATTTTAACAATGTCTGCAAACATGTTTATTGATTATTAGCCAGCGATAACAATAATATTGTTTATAAAATAAAAAAATCGTTCAAAAAGTTGAGATTCTCAAGCAGCATTTCTAACAGATATCAATGCTTTACTTTTATCTTTTGATTTAATTTCTTTTTATTTGTTCATGATTAATATTTTTATATTTTATATTATATGATTTTTTTTGTTAATTATTTTAATTTTAATTTGTTTATATTTCTTATTTTCATTTATTTTTTATTTTAATTCTGCATTTATGTATGTTTTTTATTATTTATACAATATATATTAGAATTATTTTTTAATATATTCATACATATAAATCTTTTAATTCTAAATTAAAAGATTTCTTTATTTAATTATTTTTTAATATTGTTCTTATTTAATTATTATTTAATTGTTTTTGCAGTTTACAAATTTGTTTTAAAAATATTTGTATTTATTTTTAAGTTTTGAACATATAGGTATAGTTATAGTTTTGCATTTATGATTTCAAAATTTTATTTTATTTTATTTATTTCTTTATTGTGCTAATTTCAAATTTTTCAAAAAAATTTATTTGCATATTTATTTATTTAATCATTTTTTTATTACAAATTAAAAAAGTTATTAATTTGTACAGAAAATGATGAAAATTTATAAAAATTAATTTTTATATTATATTATTTATCAATAATTATAAATAAAATAACTTTGTATATTTTACAAGTGAACAACTTTTTTTTAAGTTGTTTAGAAATTGCCTAACGCTCTTAAATTGCAAGCAAACTGAACTAATTTTATGAATATATTTTCGCTGTATTATGAAATAAGAAGGTTAAAAGCTTCCAACTAATTGTTATATGATAATAAATAAATTAAATAAACAATTTAGAAAACTTCACACTTGCATTTTTCTTGCACTGTTTGAATCGCTTTATCTGCCTTAGCAACGAGTTAAAAAATGCATTAAAATATTAATAACTAATGTCCGCGCAAAAGCAACAACAATTAACAATTAATAACAAATGTCCGTGTTGAAGACAGACATCATTAGAAATTGATGACGCATGTCGCGTGCAACTGCAACTGCAGCAACTACTCTCTCCGTCTTCCTCTTTTTTTCTGTATATTTTTCTGTCTCTGCATGCAATGCCTAGCTAGCTGGCAACCCTTTAACAATATATATTGACTGCCTCCGCCCCCCTCCTCCGCCCCTCCGCCTATGCCCTTCGCTGCACAAATGACTTGAAAAGTGGAAATGATATGATAGGAGTAGAAAACATGGACTTGTAATTAATTAGACTTTCATAAAGAGCACAAAATTCTATAAATTATATTCCATTTGGCGCGGCATAAATGTCAGAGGCAAAAACCTGAGCCCCTCTGCTGCTGCCTCCGTTGCCACGCGCGACTGCGCATCACGTGCGGCTGCATTTTGTTGCCGACTTCACATCGTCATCATCATCATCAGCTACCTCATCATTGTGATCATTTATTAATTGCTTAGATATAGATGTGGAACTCGCAAACGAAAAACATTTTTTTACTTTTTTTATTTTTTTTTTTTTAATTATTGTGTTTATAAATTGTTTATTATTATTTTTGCACATAATTTAAATAGTTTGTGTTTTCTTTTCGCCTTTTGATTTGCAGCCTTTGCTGGAAGGGGGAAGGGATTGGGGGCTTCGAATAGTGTACGTAAGCATTGGAGTTTTTATTTTACAATAATTTGCAGTTAGGAACAATTAGACAACAACAAAATTATTTATAATTTAAATTAAACACAAGCGAAACTCGTTTTGCACTAGTTCTAAGCCTAATTAAATTAACTAATACTGTTACACGGCTAAATCTAAGAACTACTCTAAGTACATACACATATACATATTTATTTGTATGTATATATATATATATAAATAGTATATGTATATATTTATAAAACAAGTTTATGCGCAGCAATCTTAAAGTGTTTCGAAATTTAGGTAAATTTCAATTGAAAAAAATTTAATTATTTTTGATTAACATTTTGATTTGGGTTTATTTCCTAAAAACTTCAACTAAAATTAAAATTTTTTTAAATTAGAGCAGCTGAGACATTTTTTTATAATGTATGTATTTCAATTTTTATATTTTCTTAACATTTTTATTGAAGGTTTAATTAAATTTCTTAAGGATTTCTTGAGATTTACAACGATTTTTTTTGTTTTGGTTTTTTAAATATAAAATATTTTTTGGACAAGCACAAAACGAAAGTTTGATAAAAAAAAAGCCAAAAAATGGTTAGCAAACATAGTTTTAAGTTCAAAAATAATTTTTGGTTTTTAATTTTTGCAGTTAATTGACGTTTAATATTTTTTTATAAACATTTTTAGAATTTTTTTTTGCATGCGTAATATTATAATACAATTTTAATTTTTATTTTCATTCATTTTTGGTCCTACATTTTAATATTTTGAATGCGTTAAATTGTATTGAGTGTTTAGGTAAATTCATATTTTTACTTTTTCTCTTCTCTTTTCCATTTAACAATACCAATAAATAAAGTTTCATTAATTAAATTATATTTTACAAAATTCCAGCATAATTTTCAATGAATGCTTTAAATTGTTGGCAGTGGAAGGACACAAAATCCAATATGTTGGCTCTTACTGCATTTCATGTAAGTTTGTTACTTGTATAATATTATATTATTTATTATAAATTGTTTTATATTTTATTTTATGCTCTTATTGAATATTGCTGCATAAATCAAATTGAACAAAATTTGCTAAATTTTTAAATGAAATTTGCATAAATTTCGAAACACGTTTTAGTTGCGTGGCATAAACGAGCTGCTAAATTTGAGTGTTTGCCACATGTTGCTGCAACATGTTTAGAGCTACACAGCTTTGAGTGATTACAGTTTTTTGTTTTTGTTTTTTTGCTTTTTGGGTTATTTACAAACATGTTCGATCATTGCACATACATTTCGTGTAGTTTTCATTGTTATTAGTGGCGGCGGCGCCTCTAGGGACTGTCGGCGCGCAGCGAGGGCGACGGCGAGCTGCCTGGCTGCGCATGCTGCGGCACTTGATAGGGACTGAAGCGCTGCGGATAGTGGCCGAGCTGCGTCTTGATGCGCAAATCCGGCGATGCTGAGCCGCACGATGATGTAGGCGTGGCAGGCGCTGGTGGTGCATTGACAGCCGCTGCCGGTGGCGGCGGTGGGGGTGTGCGACTGACGCCAGCTGCTGCAGCCGCTGCTGCAGCAAAGGCCGCCTGCTGATTGGCACTGGCCAAAAAGCCGGCCGTTAGCTGCGGCCACTGCTGCTGCCACATGCCCAGCTGAAAGGCGCCCAGCGAGGCGCTCGGGTGCGGCGGCGGCGGTGCCGGCGGCGCGGCACGCTGATACAAATGCGGCAGCAACATTTCCGTATACGGCGAACGGCCAAACATTTGCAAGTGCTGGCGCGCCTTCTCCAGCAGCGCCAGCGAAGCGGCATCCGCCTCCTGGGGCGTCAATTGCGCCATCAGCGGATCCGGAAAGAAGCGCAGCGGTGCGGCGCGCATATGCTGATCGAAGAAGAACGAATCCATGGGATCTCTGCAAAGAGCAAAGCCAACAAAATAAACATGAATAAGAGAGAGAGAACTGGAGTGAGTGAGAGAGAGAAGAGGGGAAGCTAAACTTGTTGCAACACGGAGGCAAACGCCAAGGCAGCAATAACATAATTACGTTGAAAGTAACTGCCAATTGCCGACACTAAACAACGCCAGCAACAGCAACAACAACAACAACAACAACAGCAACAACAACATTCACTCATTATTTTCGTGTTTTCATTTCATGTACGAATCGGCTTCAAAGTTAAATGCGCCGATCTGTAATTTACGCCACTTAAGACGCCGCCGAGCCGGCTAAAACATTGAATGTTGCTGTTGTTGTTGTTGGTGTTGCTGCTGTTGTCCATGCTGCTGCTGGCTGCTGGCTGCCTGCGTTTGCTGTCTTAATAGCACACGTAGCCGCCGCCTTGCAACACTTTGGAAGTTGCTGTCCGAAAAGAAAGAGAAAAAACACTTCTGAAAGGGCTGGCTGCCCTTTCCCCTGCTCAAGGCATCGAATGTTAGCTGCTTGTCCTGTGCAACCTGTGTGCATGCAACATGCAACATGCAACATGTTGCCAAGGCACACAAGAGTTGGAAACGCGCAAGCAAAACTTGAACTTTGTTAATTAGCTGCAGAAAATAAATTAAATGAATTAAGAAATTAATATTAGAAGAAGCTAATGAACGACTTGAAAATATCCGGAATTTAATGCTGAAGCGTTACTATATGAAAATTTACTGGTGAAATTTATTGACTCTAGCTGCTATAAGCTTTAAGATGTTTGACATCATGGGGCATTAGATTGATGTATATTTTGATATACTAAAATATCAAGATAACTATTTTCCTTTGTATCTATATATAAATATATATATATCTTTATTTGCCTTACTTTTTATGTACGAAAGATATATATATATAGAAAATTCTACCAACTCTCGACTCTCTAGCCTTTTTAGTACAAGAGCTCGCTAAGGCTAGGTATATGGATAAGCAAACAGATGAGCAAGGCAGAATTCGCTTGATTGAATCTGAGGTTTAGCCTAAGTAGGGTTGAAATTTCTTATATATTCTATACTCTATGTATATATATTCCCTATGTAAATATATTCTATACCCTATGTATACATTCTTAATGCACATTAAAATATAATGCAAAAGAAAAGAAAAAGAAAGGCAAATTTCTGCAATCGTTCACTCGAAGAGTTTCTCTAAAAACAGTTTAAAATTGCATCAAAAAAAGTTCAACTGATCTATTCTATAGGTATTATATGCATATATAAATATACATATGTATAAGTATATATATACATTCTATAAACTTTCGCCATCCACTATGTCATTCCACTCTCAGCTGTCGGCAAATCTTCTGAAGAACTCCCACTGCTCCACTTTAAACAGTTACTAATTGAAACCGATTTTCTTTGCTTGAGCTCTATGAGATTTTCTTCGATTTGGCACTGACTTTCACACATTTTCGCTAATCAGCGGCTTAGGTTTGAGCTACTGTTCGATGGTTCATCGTAAATGAGCTCGTAAATCAGCAAACAAGCCGTCATAAAAGTGCTCGGGGTCAACTATTTCAGTTGGGCAACAAGCACTCGAGACTGCCCCGCCCTACCCCGCTGTAGTTCTACTTATTAATAAAAAGAACTCACCTATCAAAATCAGTCAGACGCGACGAATCGCGAAATCCTTTTGCGAACGGATTCGAATCGATTTTCAATTTCGTAATCAATTGATTCTGATAGGCCGTCACGGCCGTGAATACAGTCTCCGGGAACACGAAGGTTTTATGATCCATATCCTGCAGCTCCTTGGGATTGCCGGGTATGCTCTGGCCATGGCTCAGCCGCACCAAGTGAATCCGTGGCTGGTATCGATGCATAGAGTTCAGCACGACCTGCAGGCGAACAACAAAAGCAGGTTTTTCTTTGGTCTTATAAAAAATTTACAACAATAAAAAGTAGTCGGCGTTTGTTTTGACGCTTTTCCGGGGCAGCATCCTTTATGGCGGCGATAAAAACGGTGGCTGGCTCGTAAACAGAGCGTCCACACTTTCCGTGTTATATGGCCTGGCATGATATAGGGCCAGAGAGCTCTTATGCATACACACACACACACATACATAAGCGTATATGTGTGAGCCATGCATGAGGGGAAGTTTCTTGGCTTTTGCATTTGCCACCAAATTGCCAACAATTTTCATTCATTTTTTGGAATTTACATATGCCGGCTGTACGACAGGTTAAACACCCTCTCTCTGTCTCTCTCGCTCTTTCTCACTCTCTCTCTCTCTCTCTGTCGTTCTCTTTCTGACAACTCCGCGCTGCCATGGCAGACCAGTCGCTGCGGCTTTTTATATACTTTTGTCTTCTAGCTAAATTATTCATAAATGTTTTGTGCCAGGATGCTTAAGGATATGCTGTCTGATAATATCCGCGAATCTCGCGCGAATTTTCGCAGCTTCGCATGCCTTGTATGCGCTGGCAGAATCTTAGTGCCCACTGCAGTGTGACTCATGTGGCAGTTAACAAAGAAACAAAGTTTAGATATCAGATCTTTGGCAGTTGAATGTTTCTTTGGATTTGAAACTGTGTTTGCTTGAAAAGACCTTAATTAACCATTGTTTAATAATAATTGTTTAAAAATCAAATAGCAAGCTAAGGTTATATATAGATATAATTAATATAGCTTGAACAGCAAATGATATTGACACCTCAATAAAGTTTTTTCAGTAAGTAGTTAACTTTGTCTTGGATGAATCCGGAAACAAGAAATATCTTTCTGTGTTATCATTGTTTATCATGTAGCTTTACTTTAGGGTAAACTCTTAAGAAAATTCTGTCTGGTAATATAATTTTGATCCACAAGAAAGCTTCTCGAAAGTATTTATTCTCATAGTCTTCCGGCTATTCCCTTTATTTTGACGCAATTTGCCTGTGACCTGTCTGCGGGTTAGTGAGACAATCAATGCTCACTCAGTCAGTCTATCAATCAACTACCAAGTTAGTATTTAATCTGTCCCTATGGATAAGTATTTATCTACCTCTAGAACAGGTACTCTCTCCATGTTCATGCCTAGCAGCCTTAACTTCCTGCTATGCAAAATACATTTCGAGACTGACTTCTATACAAGACTTCTTCCCATATGTAGAATTTAGTAAATACTGAATAACCCTTCTAATCGAACTCTTTACTATCTTCTACAAAATAATAGTAGTTCACTTTCTATACACTAAGTTAAAGCCTTAAGGCGCATCGATTTGTTTTTTAGCCGTCGCTTTGTATTGTGTCAATGTTCGCTCTCGCAGCTGTCGCCGCAGTCAACCTTTGACCCAGCACACACACACAGACACACACAGACACACACAGACAGACGCTGGCGAAACTCACCTGTCCGCTTTTATCCATTTCGTTATTTGTCAGCTTCACCTTCTCGAAGGAGACGACCTGTTTGCGCAATGCCTCCGGGCTGATGGGGCTATCGGGATGGGCATAAATGCGTGCTGGAGGCGGTGGATCCGCCTTGCCGGCCACCAGCCAGGAGCTGCGGTGATATGCATAGCGATAGCGTCTCGAGTCTAACGGCACTATGTCCAGCAGCACGGCATAGCGATCCGGCGGCTGGATTTGTCGCAACGGACCCGAGAACGAGACACGCACCGTGGGGAACATGCGCCTGAAAGTAGACCAAAAACCGGGCCAAAAATTAGTAGGAAATTCAATCTATAAAAGAAAGAGAGGCAAGATAGGGCAACAACAGCAAAATATAGGAGAACCTTAGCTTTCTTTATTTTATTGCCCGGCATTGTGCGGCGCGAGGGTTGGGGATGGCGTATTTCTGGGGGTTGTGTGTATGTAAATAAGACGCATATTTAATTTTATGACTTTTAGCACGTTTTTGACACATTTCCGCGACGAAGCAGACCCCATCAGAATTGCCCCCTGCCTAACCACAAACACAAAACTCAACTCAACTCAACTCAACTCGCGGTCAGCCAAAGTGTAAATGACGCTAATGACCCAGCCCAGTTCTTTTGTCATTTGTCTTTTACGTTTCTGCCTATAAAGGTGTGCGAGAGTGTGTGTGAGTGTGTTTTTAGTTGAGTTGTAGATGAATGTTGCAACATTTGTCATAATAAGCCAGCTAATTAACAGCACAGCAAATAGAACTTTTGACTAAATATGAAAATGATATGAGCTGGAAATGGATTTCAAACAATAGTAAAGAAATTCTATAAAGAATATGTGTAGATATATATATACAACTGTAGAATAGCAATTTGAGTGACCTAGATTCGAATTGTAGACTAGGAAGTGCCTGAGACGAAAGCCTTGATGTTCATTGCTATATGAGAATGAAGTTTGATAGTTTTGAAGTTGATTAAATGAAAGTGAAATCAGCTGCTAAAATATCGAAGCATATAACTAATTTCTAAGTTATTATTAGTTGTTATTGATCAGGGAATATAAACAAATAAGCTCAAGACTGCAAAATTTACAAAAATTAAGTAAAGATATTACAGCATTGTTCACAAAAATAGTAGTGCGACTGAGCACGAAATGTTAGATGACAAAATGTTGTGCTAAATACAATTTGAAATAAAAATTAATATTTTATTTGTATCAGTTTAGATATATAGTTATCTAAATATTTTTTAAAAAATATATAATTATATATAGAATGTAAAGATAGCTCAATTGTATTTTATATATAAAATATAAATATTTTTTTATTTTTTTTTATATTTAAAACATTTACGAGAACAGAAACTGAAATGTTTTAAATATAAAATAATAGTAAAAATATATATTTATTTTATGCATATATTATTATTATACATATATAAATATTCTTATATACATTTTATCCAATTTATAAATTGCAAATTAAAATTTGGAAATGATTTTTATAAATTTACAAAAAAAACACATAAATTATCTATGCCACTTAGAAGCTTTTAGAAATCCATTCAAAAGACATTTTCAGCGCAGTCTTATTCAAGTTAGAGCAATAAACAAGTTGCTCGCTCGACGTTCCTAGGCCAGCAGAACATGTAAACTTGTAGGCTAGGCTTTGTCATGATAATGCTATAGCATTCGACAGAAAAAAAATATATATATATATATCTATTTTTTTAGAGAATGCAATAAATCACAGGCGAACCCGTTCATCAGCTGTCGCATGCCAGTGGAAATCGTGCCATTTAAACATGCCTATATATAAATGAAAAGATCTGTATATATATAATTGATAATAATTTCAGTTATAATGTCAAACATAAATCCGAGGCGACTGCATGCGGCGAGTGTTTTGACATGTTATATTAATAGAGCGTGGGCGTGGCTGCTGTGGAGGCGGATGTGTGCGTGTTAGCCGCCATGTTGTGGCAGAGTTGCCAACGCACTCGTGTGTGTGAAGGTAATAACTGTCATTGCTTTGGCAGTTGCAAGTCGACAGTCGTTAGTCGTCAGCCGTCAGTCGGCATGTTGCATGCCACAATTAGCACCATTGTAGCGGATTGCTTATCGCTGGGCTGCCATCAGCTGAGGCGATGCACTCGAGCCTGACGCGTTGGCAAATCTATTCAAGAAGCAAGAAATCAACAGCAGCAGCAGCAGCTCAGAAAACTTTCAAACACTTTTGATAGCTTGCTAATGTGTCCATAAATGTGTGAAAATGCCAAACGCAAACGGGGGCCACACGCCCAGTTAACTGCCACGCCCAGCACTAACGCCACCACCGCCCGCCCGCCAGCCTTTTGCGCGCTGCCAGCGGAAATGTCGTAAATCATATTCCCAGCATTTACATACATTTTTATGAGCCAAACTCAGCGGCGAGCTGCCTGCAGGCCCTGCCCTGCCCAGCCCTCCCCTAAGCTATGGGTGGGCGTGGCACACACAGAGAGAGAGAGAGAGGGAGAGAGAGACTCTTTGCTTTCTGCTCTGCATTATTATTTTGCTGCGTCTAAGTGTGGATTTTATGTATTTGTTTATGGGAAAATTAGGGAAATGGCTTTCGCTCATTTCCCAGTCGGACTTGCTGGCGTTAGGTGCCAAAGGTTACAATTATGAAGTTTACACACCATTTGCCATAGAGGGTTGCTCCAGCGATACTCTCAACTTCACTCTAGACTTTCAATTAGCTTGACCACAACCTCACACACTCTCTCTCTCTCGCTCTCTCGCTGCCCATGTCTCAGTCTGTTCCAATTAGTTGACTCTTCAGTGTTTTGTATGTGGCGCATTTTATCCGCACTTCCGCCCCGGGGGCTATACGCATACATTATCAACACCTTAGTTCCAGCAAATTAAGCCGCCAGCTTTGAGTTAATAAATGCAACTAAATGCTAATTCTTGCTGCCTTCCTTTCTTCATCGAGCAACCCTCAATTGCAGCCTTAACCTAGGCAAAACTGAACGATCTTATCGTCGCTTGTAAAAATATATGAAGCGCAGCTCATGCAGCTCACTCGCTCTCACAGTCCATCTCTTTCGCTTTTATTATTTAATTAATTCATAATTTGGTAGTTAAAAACACTCAGAAAAATTCTGAAAATTGTGAACAAAAACGGTGGCATGGCTACACTTGAAGAAAACTAATAGATCTTTGGCTTTTATGAAATTATTTGGTTTAGGTAAATTCTTTAGAATTTGCTTTAAGAGAATTCGCATTCCAAATTATGAAGAGAAATATTTTTTAATTTAAAAAAATTCGAAGAAAATTTCATACTTAAAAAATTGGTAATATAAAAATATTCAGAAAATTAAATAAAAATTAAAATAAAATTTATATTTAAACAAAAACTAAGTACAATCATAAAAAATAAAAAGAAATTAAACATTTTTATCTAAAAAGCTTTATAAGAAACTCATAAAATAAATATGTATTGTAATTTATATAAGCTAAAATATTTTTTTAATATACACAAATCTGACTAGAAAAATGTTAAAAAAAAATAAATATTTATGGACATATATCTATCAATAAATTTAATGCTTTCGGAAAACTAAAATACTAAAAATAAATATAATCTTTTTTTTTAAAACTATTTTTTTCTTTTTGTTTTTAATATAAATAATATTGTAAAAAAATATATGTTGTCTATTTATATAAAATGCAAATATGCATTATAAAATTATTAGTGTTTATCATATCCATCGATATCCAATATTAATTTCTCTCAGTGTACCTAGCTATTTGGGGTCAGCTATTAACTGCCTCTTAAGAATGCCCACAGATCCTGCACCTTTCTGCAGGGTCTTAACTTGTTCCATTGTTGTTGTCCTTTAGGCCGAATGATAAATGTTCGCTCACACAGTACAGCTGCTCGCAGCGTACAATCAAATATTAATGAAGTTGTACGAAAATTGGTCGAAATGAATTAATATGCGAGCGCTATCAAGTCAGGCAAGAGTCGCGTTTTGTTTATAGAGTTTTGTTTCAAAGCATGAAAATTGCAATTGATACGCACCTTGGCAGGGGCTACTGTCCGCTCGATCAGAACTGTGCGGAACCGACTCTGTGTGGAAACAATTACCTAACAAGCGTGAAGAGTTGTCGCTAAAATATTGACAAACATTTGCAGTTGACTACCAACTGAGCTAGCTCTCTTCCTCTACCTCTCCCCCTCTCTCTCTCTGTCTATCTGTAGGTCTCAATTGTCGCCCGCTGACTTGGCTGGGACAATTAGGCCGCCTGCTTGCGTTTCTCTCTCATTGCAACCGCCAATTGCTGTTGGTTTTTGTTAACCGCTGACAGTGCGTGACAAAATCTACAAAAACCACGTGACATTTTATCTCAATGACCGCAACAACAGCTCTCAAAAGGCAGGCAACTCGGTCAGGCCATGTCAACAGGTAAAACTCTCAGCTCGGCTTGATCCTTTTAGCTCTGTGTGCGCAATAAATCATAAATCATTTTCGACTACGTCTTCATGTCTCGATGCTGAGTTTCCTTTAGCTTCTTCTCTTTGTTTGCTGCGCTCTACGCAGGCGCATTTGCATATTTTGGCCAACTTTTGCTTTGCCCTGTCAGATAGTTTAGCTGAGACTTTAGTTCAAAGAGTTAAGCACTTAAAATGAATATTTGAAGAATGAAGAAGATACTTTGGTTGCAGCTAGAATAGCAACTCTTAGATGATATATATAGTATAAGCAAGTGAGAAAAGTGGTCGAGGCGACATTGCTCGACTAGAAGTTGCCTCGACTAGTTGCTATTGCCAGTAATGAGATGCAATTACTAGTGAAATTTCCAGACTCCAGCTTTTATGGCTATATTATTATATTTATAATTATATTTATATTTATATTTATATTTGTATTTATATTTATATTTATATTTATATTTATATTTATATTTATATTTATATTTATATTTATATTTATATTTATATTTATATTTATATTTATATTTATATTACTATTATCATTTCTCTTTATATTTATATTTATATTTATATTTATATTTATATTTATATTTATATTTATATTATATTTATATTTATATTTATATTTATATTTATATTTATATTTATTAAATATTTATTTATATAAATATATCTTATGTGTTAAGCAAAGCTTTGCTCGAAAGATAAGATCCTGTTTAACTAAGTTTGATTGTAAATATTTAGTTGAACTAGGTTAAAGATAGTTAATACTTAAGTTAGTTTAAAGACGATATATTTATATATAAATTATATATTCTGCCAATGTTTCGTAGCTGCTTATATAGTTCAACTACTTCGATTTCCATATATAGATATAATATATATATATATAATAAAAAAAGGCAAACAGCTGCTGGTTATGGCAAAGGACGACTGCATTAGGTATATATTTAAGCAATTTAAAAGATATCACTCAAAAGAACGGAGCCCGCAATTGTAAATGGCAACTAGCAGCAGTTGCTGCCGTTGCTGCTGGCAGCCAAACGATGTGCTGACATAGATCTATATCATGGCTAAGAACGGGGTAATACTTTTGGGGGCGCTGCCCGGCCCGCACAAATGTAAATAAACAAGCGGCATGGAGGTGCTTGGCACTAATTACAGGGCGCACTGCGCGGCGACAGAGCCAGTCGGAGTCGCAATCGAAATGAATACAAAAACAAAAGGCAAAAAAAAAAAAAAACAAAACGGGATTCGTAAGGACAAAGGACATGCAAATGTGTTGTTAGCGCGACAATCGGCAGCTATTACATTGCAATTTATACTTTGTGGTGCTGTCAGGACCTCTGACTGCCAGTATGAATCGAAAGCCAGCGAAAGGAGTAAATTTGTTAATGTGTCGCAAATGCGCACAGCGGGGCGTGCCAGGAGGCGGAAGTATACAGGTATCCCATATTGAAAGGGGTTAACCCCAGCACAACAACAACAAAAACCCTAAGCCAAAAGCCAAACAAACAAAAGTTGCCAAGCACAACACACACACACACACACACACATACAAAGGGCCAGAAGAAGAGGAAGAGAAAAGCATATTCAGCTCCTAACTACCAGCTAGCGACTAATGCGCATTTCGCATGTCATCAGCCTGAGCTTTGAGCACTGAAAACTGAGACTCAAAGCAGCAAAGGCAACTTGGCTAAAATTTATGTTTCATGCATGATATACCCTGTTAAGCATAAGAGTGCTAAGGGGTATATACAGTTTGGGCAACAATTGATTTAATTGTTCATCACTATGCAGAAATATGAATTGATGAATGTTAGTTTGGATACGAAATAATTTGGAGGCTTAGGACTTAGTATAGTTTCTTATAATCTGTTATCCTGTGATAGAAATGTAACTTTACCATATCTTAACTATTTTTAAATTATTTTTCACCTTCTGATTATTAATATAATATACATTTTATTATATATTTAGTAAAAAACAATTTTTTATTCAATTTTCTTTTAGTTAAATACGAAAAGTACTTAAACTAAAAGTACTAAAAAGTCCTTGTATTTTTGCTTTGGTCATAGATTAGACCTTACACCTAGTTACGCAAGTAAAAACAAATTTAATATAAATTTAAAAAAAATTAAATTAAATTAAAAATATTATTAAAAATATTATTAAACATATATCGTAGTCACTCACTTGTTAGTCAAGCTTTCAGCCTATTTTTTAATCAAATCCCAACAGATGTGCCTAAACTACACTTAAAAACTTTTAGAATAAACTGTCAATATTTAGAACAGGGTATGCTATAGTCGCGCACTGTGCGTGCTGCTATTGTGCATTCGCATTTGGCATTTCACATTTCGCATTTTACACGACATTCGCACGAAAATCGTCAAGCAATAATTTTTTTTGCTGAAGTCGACTTTGTTGAGTTGCGAATGAAAAGTCGTTTAAGCAAATGCAGAATGTGAGTGAGGGAGAAAGAGAATGTATATATGTATATATGCATATATATATATTTATATATATATATATATATATATGTGTGTGTGTGTAAGCTGCAAAACAGCTGACAAGAAACAGCCGCCAGTTTGGCTGCCTCTGCTTTTGCAGAATGTTTTTTGTTTTTGGCTTTGAGGGGCGTCGGCCCGGCCTGTTGCTAATCGAAAATCGAAAATCAACGGCACATTATTTCGATGCCTTGTCAATCAATTTGAGGGGCAGCAACAGCGGTTGGCGTGGGGCGATCAGGGGAACTGTTGGGTGGCGGCATTCGTAATGAGAAGCAAACCAAAAAGCTGCTGATATTTTGCAGTTAACTTGAACGGGGCGTCAATGTAAATGGCGAATATGAATGCGAATGTAAATGTGAGTACTACCGGCCAGCCACGCCCCTCGCCACCTACCCCGTTAGCCCGCCCCACCGCCTGGACAGACAGAGTGAAAGGCGTTTGTGGAGCTTATTGATTGTTCAAGTTTTCAAGTTTGACTTCGCGTTCAGGATGAGTTGTTCGAGTTCGAGTTCGAGTTCGATTTCGAGTTCGAGTGTCTGATTAGCGTCGATTGATGAGGCCCGAAATCGTTTTATGCCACTGGGCGACATGTGCCCCAAAGGCAGCTAATTGGTGGCCTAAGCGATAACTTGGCCAGCAAAGCACAAATTATGAGCGATGGCAAATGAGAAATTAGCTAAAAGGCAGTCATTTAATTGGCCATAAAGACAAGTAGCTGGGGCCATATGTGGGCTGTAGGGCAAAAGCTACCAGTAAAACGTTTACGAATGTAATGCAAAGAGCTAATGAGAAAAGGAAATAAAATGAGCCAGAGATAGACAGGAGCTGAAGCGAGACACTGATAATGAGAAAAAAAGAAAAAGAAAAGGAGAATCAGAATGAGAATAAGAGCGCAAAAGAAAGTGAGAGAGTGAGAGAGAGATAGGAAGATATCGAGAAGAAGATTGAAAGAAAAAGAAATAAATGCGCGAAGTGGACAAAGGGAGTGAAAGAGTAAGTATGAGACAAATGGAAAATGGAAAATGGAAAATTGAGAAGAGATAGTGAAAAAGAGTTTGAGAGAGGCGTAGAAGGAAAGAGATAGAGAGTGACAGATAGAGGGGAAGAGAGAGAGAGAGGGAAAGATGGAGAGAAACAGAGAGTGAGAGCAAAAGAGACAAAGAGAGAGAGAGAGAGAGAGAGAGAGAGAGAGCGAGACAGAGACGGAGAGATGGAGAGATGGAGAGTGAGAGGGAGAAAAGGAGAGAGTGGAAGAGGAAAAGAAAGAAAAAGAGATAGACAGAAAAGATGGCGACAAAGAGCGAGAGAGAGAGAGAGAGAAAGAGAGACATAGAGATAGAGATAGACACAGCCAGAGAAAGATGGTGAAGAAAAGAGAGAGGGAAAAATTTAGAGTATTTATAATTTCAAAGAATAATATTTATTCTTCATCTCTCAATCAAACCATGAGTTTAAATATTAAATTCAGCAGTTTATAAATAAGTTGGTATTGGCTTGTAGATAGTTAAAGAGTTCTTAATTATTAACAAAGCGTTTTGACTTAAGAAGAGACACAAATGCGCCGCATTTGCCTCTCGCTCCTCCCGCTACTATTTCTATGTAATTGTCACTTGTCAGTTAAAATATACTTTAGAATTTCCTCTTCACTTCGATTCAGATCAGCAAAGCTGTTGCAGCTGATCTATCGCCTTTTTTAGTTAACTTATTTCACGCCCAGTTAGCCAGAAGAGCAACTTCTCTGGAACACATCTTAACTTGGCCACGCTCGACACTTCAGGCAGCTGTCAAGTGCCTCGACTTGACTCTCGCTCAGATCAGAAAGAAAACTTCTCACTCACCTGCCCGTTTTGGTGATGATCATTTCGGTGCCGAGCTCGTGGAACTTATCCCAGAGCTCCTTAGTTTCCAGATGGCATTGCACGGGCAAGAGATCATCGCAATTGCAAGTGCCCAAGATTTTGGGCGTTGGCAGCTGTTAGCGCGGCAGACAGAGAGGGAGAGAGACAGAGAGAGAGAGAGGAAGTTTAGTTGTTGCATCTAGTTTTTTGTATTACTGTTTTTTATGCTAACTTTGTGGCGTTTCGTTACCTGCGCAGGCTCCTCGGGGGACAGGCGTTCGTCCTCGCTGGGGCTGTGCGCTGCGCGGGCGGGTGGCGGCGAGGGCGTGGCAGTGGTGGCAGCTGCAGCCGTTGGTGTGGATGTGGCACGCCCTCGATGGCTGCTCGATTTGCTGTGATTGTTGTTGTTGTGTTGCAGTTGCTGTCGCTGCTTGTTGGTTGTTGCATGTGTCTGTTGTCGCTGCTGCTGTTGCTGCTGTTGCTGTTGGTGTTGTGCAACACGCAATGCATGACGCGCATGCTGCTGCGCCGCTGCTGCTGCGGCTGCTGCCGTCGCCGCCGCTGCCGCTGCTGCGGCCGCAGCCGTTGGCGTTTCGCTGTCGCTGCAGTCAACCACATCAACGTCAACATCGTCGTCCGCATCCTGCGTCGAATAGCGCTCCACAGATAATGGACCTAGCAGAGGCAGAGACAGAGAGAGAGAGAGAGGGCATGTTTAAAGAGAGTTGTCTAGGCGGCAACAACATGTTGCATGCAACATAGAGATTTTTTTACAGATATGAGACAAACACACACAAATTCAATTATTTACTCGGCGATTTCATATGTTAATTTGTTGTTGTTGTTGTTGTTGTTGTTGTTGTTGCTGCTGCTGCTGCTGTTGGGCGAGGGTTGGCCGAAGGGGTTCAACAGCTGCCAATTATGGCATCTAAATAGTTTTGCGCATGCATACAAATCGATAAATATCTATATATGTATAGACACGTATATAGATTGATAAATGTGTGTATGTGTGTGCGTGCTCATGTCATGACATGCAGCGCACCCTAGCCACGCCCCCTTTGCATTCAAATAGGCTTTGATTATTTTATTGCCGCGCACATTTGCCGCAATTATCAAGTCATCAACGTTGCATTGTCATCAATATGCAATTTGTGGCATAAACAACAGCAACAACAACAGCAAAAAACACAGACAACAATATCACTGGCAACTGTGCAACATTTCGAGCAGCAGCTGTGGGTGTCAATAGCTCAGCTAATGGAGCCACGAGTCTTGGCCAACTCCGTGTTAATTAAGCATTAAATATTATTTATTTAAACTAATTACTTTAATAATACCTGCGCTTAGTAATGTTATTGATATAACGAATACTTTTCAACTCAAAATAAATAAATAAAATAACTAAATTGAGCCAAACATAAAAATCAAAAAAATATTGCTAAATATAAAATTAAAATAATATTTATAACTGTTCGTAATTATACAGAATGTTTGTTAATCAATTAAAAAGCTTAAGCACATACAAATACAAAATTAGTATTTAAATATAATTTAGATGCGACATTAAAAAATATTTATGAAAGAAACCATATTTAAATAATATGTTTAAATATGTATAAGAAAAATAAAAAATACAAATTTATATATATTAAAAAAAGTATATGTAAAAACACATAAAAAAATTATATATATTAAATTAAATATACATAAAAATATATTTTAAAAAATAATAAAAAAAAATATATTACAGGAAATTATCGAGAAATTTAAAATGTTCAAAACAAATTTGTAAAACATAATAAAAATAAAGTATATACATATATATGTATATCATTTTAATTTTTTTTTACATATTTCTTGAAAGTGAAATAATTAAATGAGTAATTTAAATATTTAGTACAGAAAAGAAAGATGTTTCTACATAAATCTGCAATTATTATAATGCTATATATTCTAGTGAATATCCATAGTCAAGGCTATAGAGCCTGCTGAGATTGTGTTAGTCTATCTGCAGTTTTAGAGCCAACTACAACTGGAATTGCAGTCAACAGATTGTATATATATATATATCTATATATATATTGCTGTGGCAAATTCTGATTGCATAGATGAGATAAAAGTGGGGAAGCACAGAGCATATCTACAGTTCATAAACTCAAACACAAGAAGCTAAAATGTTGACAATTTTAGAGCATTTCCTGCATTGTGTAAAGTGAATTCGATTTCCATATATCGCACAGTCTTTGAAGCATGTTTTTGATAACGATTTCATGCAAAACTTTATCGTTTGTTCGTGGTGCAGAAACTCAAAACTCGATATTCTAATAATTTAGCTACCAAAGCTAATGATTTGTATTACCACTCTATGGCAGCAATAACTAGACTAAGGACAGAACGTTTTGAAAAGTTGTTGGAATGATTTGTTACACAAAAGTTTCTATATATTGTAGATTATGGAAAACCAATTTTGGAATTCTGAAATCAGAATTCGCGAAATTTCGTAATCAATTTAGTTATTGAGTTGTAATTTTCTATTTAATAAAAAAATATCTAGAATATCTAGAATTGCTAAAAATCATTCTGACATAATCTTTATTTTTAGCTAGTTTTAATTGCTATTTTCTATTAATATTTATTAAACTACAATTTTTTGATACCAAAAAAAAGGTTAAAAATATTTCAACTCAGACAAAAATCAATTTCTTGCCTTTTCAACAAATCTTTTAATATACATTTGCATGCAAATAGAGCTTGAATTAATATTTTATTAACTGAATTAATTTGATGAAGTCTAACGGCTCTTGACGCATGCCAACTTGTATTCAATTTTAAAATAGAGTTTTATTTCTAAGTCAAGTATCTATAAATTCTGCACAAAGTATCTTTGCGAGCGCTTCTTCTTCGCTTGAGCTAATAAATATTCATTGAATATCAATTTTAATGCAGCTGCTGACTTGAAGAAGTAAAAAACCTATCGTAAAAATGACTTTATAAATAAGCCTCGAAGCTCATAAATGCGCACAAAAAATTAGTTTTTCAAAAGCTTTTTTAACACCTCAGAAATTGTTGAAACGCTCATAAAAACTAAATAATTTATAAAGCTGATTAAAAACATAAAAAGGCGAGAATCAAAAGAATAAAGAAAAATATTTGGATTCTTTGTAGAAATTAAATTATTATTGCTTAAATATTTGGAAATTCCTGAGATAAAAATTATGAAATATTTTTATAGAACAAACGAATATTTAATTTATATATATCTAAGTCTATGGTTTATGGCAACATGGACTGAGTAGGCTATAGATCTATAGATAAAAAAAAAGAAATAGAATCATAATGAGAATTCCTTAAACTTAAGGAAGGCATAACTCGATTCAATTTATAAAAATTCGATTTTTTTATTCATAATTCTGTAATATTCCCAAAAATGGTTTTTGTACTAAGCTTTTAATATAACATTCTTAAATCTTTAATCTTTTGTATTTGCTGCTTGAAATCAAATAAGAAAATAAAAGAATTAAGTTTCTTATTCAATAAGAAATTTTAATATTTTTATATATTAAATTTAAAAATGTCATATTAAAATGTATATATCAAATTTCTTCAGACAATGAGAGAAGCCTTTTTATGCATTCAAAGTATAAAACTTTTAAGATACTTCTAGATACAGAAATATATAGATACAGAAAAATATGTAGAAAGATAAGCTATACATTAAAATGTATATAGATATCTCTAGTAAAGACAGTCTCAATTATTTTAAAGAAGTATTTCATAAGAATACATATATCTATTTCTATCTATCTTTATAGACATAGAAAGCTAAAGTTTCTCTAGTTAAGACACAAGTCAATTCCTTTAAGAAACTGTTACATCTATATACTCTACTCTCTTTTGGTAGGCAATTATCTATAGATACAGATATAGATCTAGTTCTAAAACCATTTCTATATACTTCACCCAAACACTCCCATTCCAAAGAACTCTGCGCTCTGCTCAAATCATTCTACTTTAGGCACTTCAACCTCCTGAAGAGCAGACGCACTTGAGGGTAGTTAGAGACTCGATATATATAGAGAATTATATAGATTCACAATATTCATGTTAGTCTCAATTACTTTAGCTACTCACTCAGACTCCTTTCCGATGGCTCGCGGCTGTTGGAAGGGGCGGGATTTCCGCCTCTCGCCATAATCGCGGCAATTGAGAAATCCGTGGCAAAGGAAATATTATGCTGATGATGCTGATGATTATTCAGATGATGATGATGATGGCTGCTGCTGTTGTTGTTGTTGTTGCTGCTGTTGCCATTGGCAATTGTTGCCGCGGCGGCAGCTGCTGCTGCTGCAGCAGCAGTTGCAGCAATTTGTTGCTGCAACTTGACTTTAAAACTCTGCGGCGCTGTTGGCGACGGTGACGTCGGCTGCGGCTTGGCATTTGCCGGCTGATTGCTAAGCAGCATAATATTATTATATGCTTAATATTATTAATAAATATTTCAATCGATTTTACAATCAAATAATTTCTTTGTACAAAATTCTTAATTAACACATTTCACATGAAGCATTTTGGGTGTGGAAAGTTTTCTTTTTTATTAGAATTTTCCGCGCGCGTTTCTTATTTTTGTAATATTTTTATTTTATAATTTTTTGTATTTTTGTATTTTTGTTTTTCGTTTGGTTTTTAGGCTTTTCGTGTTTTTGCGCTTTGCCGTGAAAACCGCTTTACAGTCGCACAGCTGACCATTGAATGAATTTGTGGCAACTGCGATTTGCTTTTTGCCATGTAAACGCATTCGCAACAAGCCGAAGTCGGCCCCTTCCCTTGCGCTGCTGCTGTAGCCCCCCTCGTGTCGCTGCCACTGCACACAGCTGACGATCTCTTACGGCGAAAAGTTTTCAACACCACGTAACGTGCTTACGTGACGCGTTACGACAAACAACTTAACGAACTAACGTGTGAGAGGCTGCGTCTAAGGCACTAGTTGTTGCTGTTGTTGTTGTTGTTATGGTTTGAGTTGTCGCTGCTGTTGTTTAGTTGTCCGGCTATGCGCGGCTAGCGCAAAATACCTGACAGCACTGAGGCGCCGCAATTTTACGCAGCTCGCGCAAAAGCGCCAAAAAGTTTTGTGGGAAAGCGCTCACGTAAGCTTCGCACGCAACGTAAAGCGGTTAACCGCAAGAGACAGACAGACAAGCAGCGCGGCAGCAGCACCAACAGCAGCAGCGCAGCGGCAATCACCTCTGCGCGTGCAAAAGAGCCAGCAATATGCACATATGTGTGTGCAGCGCATTCCAATGCAGCGACAGCGACTGCGACGCGTTGCCTCACATAACTCATGCTCACTTTTGAGTTTTCCAATACGAACGCTAAATTCCCATACACTCAGCTGAGCGCGAACTGCCGCACATGCGTGCAAGCGAGATGGCTGCTAGCGCTGCTGAGCGCATTCGAGTGAGCGTTTGGTTGTGCGCTTCGTGTTGTCTCGCTTTAGCGAGCGCAAACAAGTTCATAAATTCGTCATTTTGTTTTTTCGGGCTGTTGACAGTTGGTCTGTTTAGTAGTAGTTGTTGTTGTTGCGACCGTTTGTGTGAGTGTGTTGGGAGGGGGTGTGTTTTGTACATTTCGTCGGCTATTTACAAACATTTTTTTCTGTGTTGTGCATGAGTGATTTTTTGTGCAGCGTTTCATTGCCAATGCGTTGCGCGCTGTCTCACTTGAAACTCACCACGTTTCATATCCAACGTTTTGAGTGGGTTTATGTGTGAGTGTATGTTAGTGAGTGTTTTTGAGACAGAGTAAATGAGCTGTTTATTATATGTGAGATTTTTAAGCAATTTGAAGTGAGTGAAAATGAAAACTGAGCCAAATTACAGAAAAATATATAAAATACATATTTTCAGTTATTTAGGATAAACTTTTAGTGTTTCTTATTTTAATTTCTATATTTTTTATGTGCTCTTGAGCTGGTTTTGCTTATTTATATTTAAAAAACGTTTTGACTCGCCTCGTTTATCTGAAAAGCTGTCGCGCCCTTCGAATTGAATAATATCATAATTGAATATCTCAGCTACCCACAGTAAACACACACGCACCCTGCATATGTAAATGTACTTTTTTTAATTTAAATGTTTGCTTAAAAGAAAAAACAACAAAAATGCGACGAATGGCGTGTGAACGCAGCAGCAAATATACACATATACACACATACACCCATATGTATGCATGTGTGCGTGTGCTTATGTGTATATTTTTTCACAATTCGTCAGCTGCGTCTCCACGGCTGCCGCTATACCCATTCCATTTCATTTTGTTTCACCCACCTCCTTTTGTCTACTTCGTTTTCGTGGTTGCGACTAATGGCCACAAAAGGACTCGGAGACAGTGGAAGGGGGTTGCGATGCTCCTTCCGTTTTTTAACATTTTTTTTGTTTTGTTTATTTGCTTTGCGATTGCTCGCGAGTCGGCGACAATTTTTCAATGATTTGTTTCCTCATTTGCATAGGCCAACATATTTTCTAGCCCATCCCAATTTCCATTTTACTCCAACCGCAGTGATGTTCCCCTTCCACAATTATTCCACATTCGCTGTGTTAAGCATTTGTCTGCTACTTCCTTGGTTAGATGAGAGGGCAGAGGGTGGTTTGAAAAATTGTCCAATCGTGTGTTTGAACTTCGTTTATTTATAACAATTTCATTTAGTTAAATGAAAATGGGCGCGTTATAATTAATTTGCCTCAATTTATAGTATATACAAGCAAAGCTTTTAACATTATAAGAGAAAAAAATTTATTTGGCATACAATTTATTTTTTTGGTAAAGTTAAAGCTTTTTAGTTTTATAGTATATTTTACAGTATATTTTGATTTTTAAATATATATTTATTTTATCAAAAAGTTTTTTTTTCATTTTTTTAGCAGACATTACTATTTTTATGAAGAACTGAATTTTGAGAACTTTTCTTTCCTAAGACCTGAAGTGCATATGGTCCTAAGTGTGGAAACAAAAAAAAAACAACTAAGTTAATAGCGAATATATTAATCTTAATATTAATTTCAAAAAGTTTTCAAAATATTGTGCTTATTGCCAAATTATGTTGTCCAAAAATTAGGGCTGAGTCGCACTACTATTTTTGTGAACAGAGTTGAGAAAACCAACATTTCACAATTTGATAACTGTATATATACATATGTGTATTTTTGTATATATGTATATATAGTAAATTATATTTAAATATTCTTTACAGATCTACCTTCAAACTTGGCTTACCTCTCAGCTATAACAATTTCCAGCTGTGATTCAGCTTCATCTATATTAAATAGTCCATATCAATTTCCCTCGCTCTCTCTCCCTCTCCCTCTATACATATTATTTAATATTTTTGTTTGTTTTTCTTTTGCGCTAAATCAAAATATTTGTTTACATTTGCAATGCGTGCCGCAATCTGTGGCAATCAAATGGGCCGCAAGCCGCGCAGCGACTGCGGCTTAGACTTTCCCATTTTCCTTCACCGCTTTGGACACTCGACGCAATTCAATTGCAAAAACCAATTCCCAGCAAAATATTTGTGCAAAAGTTACAAATTTTTTTTGTTGCGGTTTTTCTGTTTACGCTTTGACAGGATTACGAACAAAAGTCGAAGGCTGCAGATGAAATGCGATTTGCCGCTGCTGCTGCTGCGGCTGCTGCTGCTGCTGTTGTTTTTTCATTCTATGCCATTAGTTTTTATATATAACACAGAGAATTCACTATTTTTTTCGCTTACGTGCGCTAAATGGCCAATAAGCAAAAGCAACAACAACAACGCGAGGAAAATGGAAAAGCTAAGCCGCCAGGATTCGTGTGTGCGTTGGGCGCAGCATGTGGCAGCCATATTGCTGCACTAGATATATCAATTTTATTGCTGCCAAAAAAGGAATTTGCAACATGTGCCCATCTACCTTTTGGGCGTGGCATCAAGGTAAACAAAGAAAACTTTTCATAATTGCAAAAACAATTGAGTTTTATGCCTTGGCCTTGAGTTGGCAGCGCGTGTCACACACACTCACACACACACTAGCTGCAGGTGTGCGTGTGTGTCTAGTCAAGGACAAGGCAGATTCAACCCAGCCCTAGCTGTGCAGCTGCCCAATTATCCTTGCGCGCGCTTTGCCTCGGAAATTCCATTGCAAATCAATTAGCAGCTGCTGCTAAAAACTTGAACTGGAACTGGAACTGGAACTGGAACTGGAACTGTGGCACTTGCACCTTGTGGCATGCCGCACACACTTGCCTAATTTGATTTCATTACCGCGCCCACAACTAAATCAAAGGCGATGCCAGACGAAGACGCAAAAGTGCAGCAGAAGGCGGAGCTGTGGCCGAGCTTAATGCGAAAATTAATCGTAGCGAAATATCGCCAGCGCAACGCTTACACTGAGCGAAAAGCAGCAGTGAGTAATGTATGGAAATTCTTTTACAAGTTATATAGATTGAAATTTATTTGAAGAATTAAGAATTAAAATAGCTTCGCCACTTCTTAGTGACATCAACTATTTTTAATTTGAGTTCTATATAGTTTTATCTGATTGGCATCTTACTTAAGAGACATTTAAATTTATTTATATATAACTCTATTATTTTTCAAATTTTTGCCATCTAATAAGCTATTTATAGAGTTGCAAATCTCTATCTTAATTTAGATAAAAAATGCATTTTTAATTCAGTTTTTGTCAAAAATCATTGATAAGAACGAAGGATAACTCAGTATGCAAAACTCACTATTTTCGCTTTGAGCTACTCAACTTTTCACTCATTCAAAAATTCCAAACATTTTCAATTGCCAAGTCGAAATCTAAAAATAAAAATAAATTCATTTTTGTTTTTTTTGCTTACGAAATTTTTAAAAAGCTTTCAAAATTAAATTTGCAATTCTGAGGCTAGAAAATAATGTACTTGATATATAAATAATTTTTACCAAAAAAAAAAACTAAAAATTATTTTTTTAAACATTTTCACAGAAAATTGGAAAAAATTTACAATGAGGCAAATTTTTTATTTAAGCTTTCATTTCGCTCAGTGTACATATCGAACTTTCGTTACGGCTACGGCTGCGGCTACACTTGCAGCTTCCAGCTGGGGGAAACGCCTATGCCTCCTTCTCAGCTGCAGTTAGTAGTGTGGCAAAACGAGCAGCAGAAGAAGCCGCAGAAGTAGTAGAAGACGAAGCAGAACAAGAAGAAGCAGCAGCATCATTCGTACTACCGAAAGCGTTGAAAACACTTTGTCGGCTCACAGATGCGTTGATAATATGCTAAAATTGCTGATGATGCACGCCCACAGGTGTTGCAGATAGAGATAGAGATGCAAATGGCCGATGTGTTCGAAGATGGAGATGCATTCGCAGATGCTGCAGATATGTATTTGGTTAGAAGGCTACAACGCTGGGGTGGCTCGCGGCTGACAGTTTCCTGCCAGGAGAGAGCAGAGGAGGAGGAGGAGCGGCAGCAACGACTCCGTGGTAATTGCCACATGAAATGCAGCGGCGGAGATTAACGATGCCACATCCTGTGGCACAACCGTTTTGCTGTCCAAATTTATGAGCGCCAACTAGCGGCA